GTCGCTCTTAAACATCGCTGCTTTTTCACTCGGACAGCAAACGACATCGAGCTTTGGTTTTCATGTTGGCACACATTGTTCAGGGATAAAAACCAGTCCATGCTACTGTATTTACCGCTTTCCTTAAGGTGCATGCAGTCTCTGACTGGTGAGGTCATCTGTAATCCAAACGTGCGGGTTCAGGTAATCTGGCTAAACTCTAACCCAGGAGGTTTAATGACATAAGCACCAGCTGCAGGTTTCCGGGCTGAATCCGATTCTGACTGAGGTCTTTTTCAGATCCTCCTAGACGTCATTGTTGGGATGCTTTCAGGTGAGGTTTTGCAGAATAAACGTCTGATCTTCTCTAGCAGGATTGTTTTAAAGTTCGGTATGCTTCAGTAAACTCGCTCCAGTGTGACGCGCTTGCCTTTGATGCCTGCAGAGCTAGCACCTCACCTGCCAACCACTGGCTCATTCAGTTAAACAGGAAGTCTGCTGATCTCCGTCGGCGCATGCTCAGCCGGACTTTTCTTCAGCTGCAGCTCTGTTGTGGTCCTAGTGCCAGGCCCGGCAGCAGCTGGTTTCTCTGGACTACTCTCATCTGTCTGACCGCAGGTGTGGGTGCAGGTGGGCGATGACAGGAGGCTCCTCTGAGTCCCTGAGGTCGAAGGGAACAACGAAGTCCCTCAAAGACTCAGCTGGACAGTCACTAGCGACGGTTCCACGTAGAAAGTCTCTGCCTTTTAAACGCCTTTAAGTGAAATTGAACCAAATATGCATCATTTGCATCAAATCCTTTCATTTAAAGTGTCTGAAGTGGCTGGGGAGATGGAAGTGTGGGCCTTCCTGCTTAGGCTGCGGCGACCCGACCCCGGATAAGGGATGGATGAATAAATTATCTCTCTTTTGGTCTTTTCTCAGTGTTTTATTTTATAATTGAATTTAGGACGACTACAGATAAGATCGATTCAGTGGCTTACTAAGCAACTTAGCATCTCTCAGCATCCGTGGATCCAACTCCAGAACAATCCATCTAATGGTCCTGTCCGACTCGTGTAATCAAAGGCTGCCGGTGAAGCAGTCGACCTGTCGTTTTGCCAGAAATGTCACTGAGATGAGTCGCTAATGCTGCTTTTCAGTGGCTTTAATCAGTCACGTCTTCACCAGGGTCAAATATTCAGCTAACGGCGTATACGACAACTGAATAAGACCCTCACAGCAGCCATTTTAAACGTCCATGTTAAGTATAGCTAATTTACAGACAAGCTAGAGAAACTCAGTCAGACACAGGTTTAAGGCTAAACGTAGCATGCTAACACTCTTGTCCAGGATGGGTTGGAGGTGCTGAGTAACCATAACAAACCATCGGAGTGCCACGCTGTTGGAGGTGCAAACACACTGGTTACAGTGGGTCAACGATGTTAGAAAATATTTCTTTAATTTAAATCCCCTATAGGGATATTAAATTATGTATCCTCTTAGTTCGTGTCCAGTTTATCAAATATTCCTCTTTATACCTGATTTTTGGTGCTTTTCTAAAAGGTTTTGTTTTCTTTGCACCTCCAGAAATCAGGTGAACCTTGTGATGCATCGTGGGAAGGAAATTACAGCGGTTTATGTAGATGAGTGAAGAAGAGAGACAAAGCTTTTTAAGTGAGCTCACTTTCCCGAGAAAAGTTGCCAGTGTTTGTCTGAACTAAATATTAAAGGCGTTCTAGAACATTTTTATTTAATTCTGTTTTTTGAGCCTCTGTAAAGCAAACTGAACTTTGCTGGGGCACACAATGGCCAAGGAGCCCTGATAACTGGCCAAACACAGTCCCATAATAAAGCCCGCCCACTCAGCCAAGACATGAATATTAAATGAGCTCCACTACGCTGCCTAAAGCCAGAAACAAGCTGTGGATCTATCTGGCATTAATTCAAAGTCTACATGTTCCCCCTTTTTTCCGGAACCGCGCTGCTCTGGGCGGCTGCATGTTGGAGCAGCTCTGTTGACTATATGTAAGTTTTGCCTTTTCTTGGACATTTTTTCTTCTGGTTTCTGAAGAAAAACTGTATTTTTTTGGACATTTTACTTTTCTGTTTCTGGTGCTGTGAAGCTTGGAGGATTTTTACTGCTATTTTTTTTTAGCTTTTTTCACTTTTTGAGCATTTGTTATGATGCGTAACCATGGCAACAAGCTGGTTTACAATCAGGAGCAGCTGATTAACATTGGAAAGGCTGAATTAATACCTCAGCTGAAGCCACAAATCCCAAATGAGCTAAAACGCAAGAAGCGTGGGTGCAGAGCGGGACGGAGACGGAGAAAGAGGAAATTCAAACCGTCTCTTCCATCGATCATAATGGGCGATGTGAGATCACTGGCCAACAAGATGGAGGAACTCCAAGCCCTTTCGAGGACTCAGCCAGAGTTTCGGCAGTTTCGGAACCGCTGGAGGAGATAATGCAGAGAAGGATTCTCCAGAGAGTCAAGAAAATGATGGACAACCCTGAGCGTTCTCTTCACAAGACTGTCCGACAACGGAAGAGTGTCTTCAGTCAGAGGCTTCTTCAGTTTGGCTGCAACACTGACCGCTACTGGAGATCCTTCCTGCCAACAGCCATTGTAATATACAACAACTCTTTGATGACTTGGTTATTATTATTATTCTAAGCTACTACAGCAATCAATTTCCCTCTGGGACTAATAAGTATTTTTGAATTGAACTGAATTACCTGGAATGATAAACGTGAGCTCCCACATTCTTCTTTATTGTTGTCCTCTTGTCCAACAAGGACGTTAGCAGTGTCTCAGGCTAGCATTGTTACGCAGTTAGCATCACTGCCAACAACATTTATACATAGACATTTCACAAGCATCCTTTCCACTGGCTTTATGGTAAATCTAATTATGTGCATCAGTTAAAGGTTGAATTCTATAAAAATGACTGAAGGATGTGGAAGCTCTGAAAGTCAAACAAGTCTGATCACATGATTTAGCACCTAACTAAACTTATTACATCACCCCGCTTCTCCTCCAGCTTCACTGGCTGCCAGTCAACTTCAGGGTTCATCTCAAGATCCTGGTTCTGGTCTATAGGGCCTTACATGGACAAGCACCATCTTACACTGGTGAGCTTCTTAGTCCCTACACCCCCAGCAGGTCCCTGAGGTCCAGCGATCAAAGCCTACTGGTTGTGCAGCACCAGGCTAAAGGTCAAAGGTGACAGATCATCTGCTGCTGTGGCCCCCAGACTCTGGACCTCTCTCCCCCTGAGCCTGAGATCAGTGGACTCAGTGGTCTCCTTTAAAAAGCAGCTGAAGACTCACTTGTTCAAGCTGGCTTTTGTATGACCTTCTTCACCTCTCTCTCTTTATTCTGCTCTCCCCACCTATTCCACCTTCCTCAGGATCCACTGATTTCCCTCTTTCATGTTCACTCTTAACATTTTTAAATCCCAATTGTCTATTTTTGCTCATTTTTAATATATTTTTAAACAATTTCTAAATGTTTTTTTTATATTTTTACAGTTTTTGTTTTGCGAAGCGCCTCGTGATTTTTATCTTGAGAGGCGCTATAGAAATGATATCTTCTTCTTCTTAGTAGAACTTTTATTTATTTCTCATTTTTGATTAAGAAACAAGCTTGTAAATGAAAGCAATTATTTCAAAATCAAAAGAAAACTTTTTTTTGTCAGAACTTAAAAACAAACGGCATTCTTAGAGATTTTTTTAATCTTTTGGCCTTTCCGGGCTTCCGTACTGCAACTCAGAATGACAGATCTGTTTCGAAACATCTGCAGAAAGGATGTTGACAAATCTCTTGCACAGAAATCTTCTCTGCAGCCTAGCAATGCTCCTTTAAATACACACCAGAATAAAAAGCTGCCATCTAAACACATACACACCTCGCACGTTTCACTTTACCTTACACACCGGATACGGTCAGCCTTTAGAAAAAAGCAGACATTTTTGAATTATATCAGATTAAAAGAAATGTCTGTGAGACACAATAAACAGGAAGCCAGACCCACCACTCCCCAAACCGCAGAAACCAAATCCTCGCTGTGTCTGAAGTCTCCGATCGTACCTTTTGGTGCGTCGGAACATGTCCGGACGTCTGCTGTAGCTCTGAGCAGCAGCTGCAGCAGCTTGGCATCAAAGCAGAAATATCACTGAACAGCAAGTCTGGTAAAATCTCACAGCAGAGAAACACATCCTGTAGGTCCCACCACCGCCAGCAGCAGCATGTCTGAGCAAGTGTGTCAGGAGATCCGAAGGTGAGAGAGAGGAAGAAGATAATGAGAGGGAGGGAGGGGGGCGGCAGAGCGAGTGATGGAGGGAGGAAGGGTGAGTCGGTCTTTTAAAAGGCAATAACAACTGGCAGCAAGGAATTGTGGGCCGAGTTCTTAAGGCTAAGGTGGATGGTGAAAACGTGTGACGTTGTGCTTTCCTCTTGGTTAAAAGCTTTGCCTGCAGGCGGCAGCATTAGCAGCGAGGAGAGAACGGTGACTCCATCGCTGCACCGAGGGAAGACATGCCCTCTGGACTCTAAAACACAGCCTATGCTGAAGCCAACCAGATATGAAGTCATGAATGAGATGCAGTAAGCAGACTGCATGTGAAGCTCATCCATGATGGATGTAGCAGTCTCCTGCAGAGAGAGGCAGGGTGTGGCGTGAGAACGGGTTGCAGCGGTGTGGAAGACCCAACAGCTTGAGGAATTTTATAGGAGGAGTTGGTTTGTGTTCTAGTCTTTAGAAGCAACATCAGACCATACGGTCACTTTGGGATGAGGGGCTGGGAAACGTAGGTGGTGAATCGGGAACTATCTACATCCTACTGTCTAGACTCATCCAGATAACATTAAATAGAGAAGCACCAATGCTGCTTTTGAGGGCCAATACCAATTTCCAAAAGCTCTGACCTGCCAATATACATTTATTTCTATTCTGACTTCTTCTTCCTGCTCTGGAGCAGAATGCAGGCTTTCTCTTTTCCTCCTCCTAACCCTGTCCTGCCTGCAGCCCTCTGCCTGGTCCTTCCTTCTGGAGCGCCTCTCTGAACTTTAACTACGGATCTGGTTAGCTGGTTTCTAAACTCAGTTCATAAAATATTTTTCCGCTTTTCGTACGGTGAAGGGAGCGCCTTCCTGCCCTGATGGAACGTATCCGGTTGATATGTGATGGATTCCTGGAGCGAGTGGAAGGCTTTGTGTCTGCCGCTGCCGTCCATGGAGGACGTAGAAAACACATGCAACTGGATTCACGATAGCCGGGTTTCTGCTGTTTGGAGAAACTGGGTTCCTGGTGTATCGGGAGATTTTGGAGCAACTGGCAAACTTTCCAAGCTCATCGAGGAAACTTGTTGTGCTGTACCTTCTCAGACTCATGCGTTAAGCCTGGTTCATGCTTCTCCGTCAGCTCCGCAAGGGACAGACACGCACGGATTGACGGAAGCGTTTTGCTTTCATACTTCTCCGTCTCCTGGAGAGTATTGCAAAGCAATTCCTCGGCAGGACAACAGAGGGCGTAGCGCTGTTCTGTGGTATCCTGTCATGTATCGGTCCAAGATAGTGTGTTTATATTGTGTTTTTTGTGTACATAAGAGACTTTTAACACGGACACATTTGTCTCTCATTCTCCCACCTCTTCATGCGTTCCCCACCTCTAAACCCACGTTTCCTGTCATTTCCGTCCACAAATAAAACGCTTGCTGCACATCTTCTCACTCCTCCAGTCACGGGGGAATTAAACGTTCATATTTTTAGAGTTTTTTCGCGAGGTATTCTTCAAGTTTCTCCGTGTCTGCCGCTAGTTATCCTCGGCTCTCTTTGCAATGGCGGCGCTGTAAACAACAGCGGCGTCCTGACCAATCACAAGCTTGCGTAATCCGTCTCATTCGACGGATGTTTAAAAAAGTGGGCTCGACTCCGTACGTACCTGCTGGAGCCCTACGCAAGGACGGATAATGGCGTTGCGCGTCTCCGCACTGACGCAGATGGAGAAGCATAAATCAGGCTTTACGCCAGCTGAATCGCTGGCTGCAGTTGCGGAGTACGTACGCGTAAGGAAAAACACTCACTCACACACGTGCTGACAGATGTTTTCCTTTTGTACTTTGGTGTGTCAGAGCTATGAAGCAATTCTTCACCAGGACAGCAGAGGGTGTGGCACTTTTCTGGGGTATCCTGCCACCATTGCAGTCACAGCTTTAGTCTATTTACTGTTGTACGTTTACATTATGTTGATGAATTTCAGAGACTTTTTAACCCTCACTCTCCTTCGCCTCTTCATGCAGTCACCACCTCCAAACCCACGCGTCCCCACACGAATAAAAAGTCTGCTGTGCATCACTGCACTCTTCCAGTCGCATTTGTGTTAACGTTTAATGACTGAGATGTTGACGAAGTTAAAGGAAGCAGCATTCTGACCAATCACAGGCTTGTGGTCGTTGTCGCTTTCAATGGAAAGTTAGAAAATAAGGCTCCACCCATCCGTCGTAGGTAATGGCGGTGCGTGTCTCTGCACCTCCTGAGACGGAGAAGTATAAACTCGGCTTTAGCGCTGGTGAGTCCACTGACCGGCAGAAACATTGGGTAGTTTAATTTCATAATGACCGCTCCCCACAACCTTACTGGGGAAAAGTGGTTCAGGAAACGTGAGATTGGGTTTTTGTTGACCACAAGTGACAAAAGTTCCTAGCGCCATCTCTAAGTGTTTCACCTTGGCTCTGTAAGATGTTTCAGCTTCACTAACGGTGAGTCCCACTACCGTTGCATCATCACCAAAGTTACTGAATTTGCTTTGTACTGAATGTAGCTGCCAGGTTAGAGAGGACAGCAAAGGACTGAGGACACATCCTTGATGAACCCCTGAACCATGCGTGGCAGTGCCTGATGCCTTCCTGCCAGTACAAACCAGTCCTCTTTCTGACAGGAAGTCCACAATCCAGTGATGGTGAGGTTTTCTGTACGAGCAGACGGACATTGATTATAAGATGTTTATAAAATACTCATTAAAGTTTGTGCTAAGTTTTAAACACACTACCGCTCAACAGCATCAGGAAACAGGAACAAATGGAGATAGTTGGGAAAGTGTGATTGAAAGAGCTCTGAATGGATAACAAAGCAATGGAAATAAAAGAGTGTGGGTAAAAAGCAAAAGCAGGACAGAATCCATACTCTCAGCTGGTCATGGACACTTTGACACACTCCAGCTGTTTTCCAGGGGGCCTCCTTGTCCTCCTTCTCATTCACACTCCATACCATAAACATCACGGACGCCTCCTCACAGATATCCGACAGAGAGAAAAAAAATCACTGATGATCAGTCAGGATTAAGCTCAGAGAACCGTCTTCACCACTGATGAATGAGTGTTTTCAGCGTTGCCTCTGGGAAGGACAGAAAAGGCGGGTAGATGAAGGAAACTCAATCACTCACCTGCTGTTTTTGCGAGGCAGTGGCAAGTCCTTTAAACAGAAACACAAAGAAAGACAAGAGGTCAGAAGTTGACAAATAGTTTCACCCAAAGCTTTCAAAGACACGTGGTTCTGCATTTTAAAGCATATGTTAAATGCTGAGGTTGAAATGATAAACAAAACTTTAAAGTCAAGATGGAAAGAAACTCATAATGTTTCTGCTTTACTCAACTCATTCACTCCAATTGACGACAAAAGTTGTCATTTTAAATCCAACCGTTCACTGCAAATAACAACTAAAGTTGTCATTTGCTTTTTTTTACTGTGTGGGCGTCGGACGAGCCCCCGCACCGTGAGAACAAACATCTCAGCTCTGAAGCCGATCTTCATCCGCGTACGTTACACGTCACGTGATCAGGAAGCAGAACATCCATGGGTTAGGAGATCGTTGTGGGCCGCTGCTGTAAAAAAAGTGAGGTGCAAACCGGAAAAGCTTCTGCCGATCACAATTCAACAACGGATTGTGAAAGAACGGATAAAGCTCAAAACACACGGATTCTTCCTGATGTAGGAGGTGAGTCTCCGCTTTTTTTTGGTTGTTTAGACGTCAACATCATCCTAGTGCGTAATGTTCTGTCACTCTTAAAAAACTGTAAAAACGGCGAGAAACACTGGCAGCGAATGAGTTAACCTCCTAGGGCCACTTGTCCACATATGTGGACATTGGCTCCTTGCACTTTAAAATTTTATTCTCTTCTACTTAAACCTTTTTGTTATTATTCATAGAAACTTTACATGACTTTAATTTAAAAACATTTTTGTTATCTTTCTATTTTTAGGATATTTGACAACATTTTTATTTAATGAATTTTAATTGAATTTAAATTTTTGTAAATTTGTTTCTGTTGATTACAGTCAATCAATAATAATCTAGAAGATAATATAATCTAGAATAGCTACATATGTTTTTTTTCTTTTAAATCAAACCAAATACAAGTTTGGGTCCCAGGAGGTTAAAAAGCAGTAAAAATGCAGAAAAATGCTGGCAGCAAAGGGCTTTACTGACCAGGAAACGGCTGGCAGTGAATGAGTTAAAAACATCTGATTTAAGTAGAGCATAAATTAAAGCTCATTCACTCCTTTTTTCAACACATCCACAGTGGTCTCTGGTATACATGAATGCCTTGTCAGTCGTTCTCTGTGGAAAAACAGCTCCGGTGCTCCTGTTTCAATAAGCAGAATTTAACCAGAGAAGTGGCGAGCAGAAAACGGCAAGATTTAGAGTCTGACTCATTCATATTCATGAAATCTCTCCTCTGATTGGCTAACTGCAACGCAACCCTACCACTGACTCAGTTTACTCTGCAACATTGATGTTTTACCTCCACACATAACACAAGCCTGGAGGAGCTCTGCCATATTGTGGAGTGGCTAATGCTAACAGTTAGCTTCTATTAGCGGAGACGTGCTCTGCTCTCTCCTGGGTGCTAAATAAACAGCAGCAACAACAGTAGTTAAAAGGCATTCCAACACAGGAAATGAAAAGAAACCCATTGGTTTCGACCCGCCATTTAACCAATCAAAGGCTTTAGAGGACAGATAGTCTTAACCAATCAAAGGCTTTAGAGGACAGATAGTCTCAACCAATCAACGGCTTTATGAAAGTAAATTTCACTATAGTCGGTCTCTATCTGACAACGCTGTTGCATCTTTTAAATCAACTGTTCCATCTTTACTGTCCTCAGCATCTCAGAGGAACGTAGCAGAGGGCAATATTTTCATTTCTAGCCCCTCACAAATTGATGCCATAATGTTAATTCCTCTTTACGTGTGGCATTAGATGATGTTGCCCCTTTAAAAAAGAAGGTAATTAGGGACAGGAAGTTGGCTCCCTGGTTTAACTCTCATCTACGAGCCTTAAAACAAAACTCTAGGAAATTGGAGAGAACATGGCGCTCTATGCACCACGAGGAGGCCTACCTATCCTGGAAAAATAGTCTTGTGCTTTATAAAAATAAGCTTCGACAAGCTAGAACTGCTTATTTCTCAGCATTAATTGAGGAGAATAAGCATAATCCTAAATTTCTTTTCAGTACAGTTGCTAAACTTACACAGAATCATAGCTCTGAGCCATCTATTCCCTTAGCCCTCAGCAGCAATGACTTTATGGGATTTTTCACGAGTAAAATTAATTCTATTAAAAACAAAATCTTTAGCATCCTCCCTAATGCGATTTCTTCTTCCTCACTAAGTGAGGCAGCATCAGAGGTAACTGTAGAACCTCATCTGTGCTAGAACCGTTGTGATCCAGTTGAGCTTTCAGAGTTATCAAAAATATTAGCTTCAAATATTAGCTGTGTGTGTGTGCGTGCGCGTGCGTGTGTGTG